GGCGAACGAACTGAATGGATAGCAGCAATCAATTATCAACAGTGCTCCACAGCCAATTAATTATCGCTGAGTAGTGTCAGAGGTGAAACATGCGGTTTGTGCTAAATGATGTCAAAACTTCATTGCTGCGGTGCTCGAAACAGTGAATGTGTTCGCCAACGGAAGGCAGGACGAATCTATAAATAAATTGCTCCACAAAGTAATTGACTGTACGTCATGGGATATGTGCACAAGACACCCCCGACGAAGCAATATTGAATTTCCTGTAACCGCTTCATCAATTTAGGTCACAACTTTGCGCTCAGTTTAATGAGCCAAACGAAACGCCCCTTTGCGTAAAGGATGTGCATAACGTATCACAATGCAATTTCAGATTTATTCATAAGCAGACATCATGTTTCACTTTTTTTAAATTATTTTTTGTACGACTATTAGTTCTACAAATGACAGCTGATAACTGCAGCACGTGCAGTTATAAATCATTCTACGAATTGATCGTATAAATTTCCTGGGTCCATCAAAGCCAAATTCCCATTAACTTATCACCATAGGTATAAGCTTTCACGACAGATTAGCATGAAAAATTCAATTTATTAACAACCTATGAATGACGCGTTGCAAAGCAGCAATAACAACAAAATGGAAAACAGTCAACATTGTACTGTACACAGCACGAACAATATCTCCTTTTTCTACATGTATTTTATGACAGCAGCGCCCGGAACCGGACTGATGGTGTCTGATGCAAGTTGTAAGGAATGAAAAGAGCGTATACTGCAGTATAGTGCCAGACGTCGTCATTCCGTCGTCGCCGATAATTGAAGCAAGATTCAAATTTGTGCAAAAATTGCGATCGTACTTGAGTCATGTTTTATGGAGGAAAGGAAAAAAGAATTGCATGGCACTGTTGCAGCAAGGTGTGGTGGCCACCGTCATCATGGTCATATATCATACGCGCGACTGCATTAGGAGTTTCCTTTTATGACACCTTCAGTTCTTGCTTTTGTTGCGGCACTTAACTACATGTAATTCCGTCCTCCAATGCATGTAAACACCCGCAAAACCGATCGAAGTTGCTCGAAATGGTACGGTCGTTTGTTTGTAGCTTGTCTGTAGCTTAATCTGAATATCACGAAGGAATGCTTTCACTTGACTGCTGTCGGCAGTCGTATCCTGTAGGTGGCCACTGAAAGCAATGGGTGGGTTTCAAATGGGTATAGAACCAACAAGGATTACAGACGAAAGCTGTAACGAACTTAAAATATTACAATGATGGTTTTAAGCGATTACATCTGTGATATATAATTACTAAGTTGTTGCATACCCCTGTATGAGACGGATTTTTTTTTTTTTTTAATTTAACGAAACTTTTGGACTTAAGCTATGAAAACAGTAAAATTATGGCCGACTAGACGTTTGGACGAATGAACATTTAGCTGAATGGATGTTTTGCCGAGTGGACGTTTGGCCGAAAATTGGTAAAACAATACAATGAAAAGAATAAAATTCAATAAGTGCCTCCTCTAGATTAGCTGGTAAAGGCACAGCTATCAAGCAACAGTCAGTGAAATAAACGCCTAGCACATTCCAGAAATATTACAGGTTGTAAAACAATATAACGAAGTAGCTGGAGTCGAAATTTGGTGTTAATTCCCCATGGAGCATCCCATTTGTACTCTCTCGCCTTGCATTAATTTACAGCTGCTACTCAGCTATAATAGAAGGTAAAAAAAAACCTGAAAGAATATATGAATTGAGCCAATATGCATCAGGGTGTCTTATTTTACTGCATTCGTCTTGCACTATTTATGTACTATTTATGAAATAATAAAGTTGCAATGTTTTCTATAAAGCAGAAAAATAAGGAATGACATATTTGAAATAATTTGAAATCATGCAAAATAATATAACACGATGCAATACAATATAATATAATATAATATGAGCAAGGCTTGGTTTAAAAAAAATCCTTCTTTTAAACATGAGCTGATAACAGATCACTTAATTAGTACAAAATGTTAATATTAAGATCAAAATTATTCAAGTTATTTAATTATTTATTTTCAATTCCAATTTAATTAAAACTACTATTTAACACTGAAAAATACAGGAATAGGAAGTTTTCGAAGGGTCTCAGATGTTTATGAAACTGTTCCCAGAGGTAAAGTTTATGGTTATATGAACGAAACGAAAAATTTGGGTGGACAAATTTTCATTGAAAATTTTAATTGCCGAGCCCGGCAAGAAAAGTGCCGAGAATCAAACAGTCGAGCTTTCGGCAAACATTTCGGTAAAACATTCAATTTCCGTGAGATCGACAAAGCTAAATTTACCACAACTCCAAATTTTGCCAAGCCTTCGGAAAAATTGTTTCCCGTTTATCGGTTTTTTTTTTCGTGTGAATCCCGGCAGTTTTTTTTTTTTGCTTTTATTTGTAATAAAGATCGAGATTTTGAAGAGGAAAACAAATGGAACACAATAAAGCCATCATTTCCTCTACACCTTATAAATTAGTATGAGTACCAGTAGATATAGAAAATTTGTACACACTTAATCTAGCTCGGTAAAATCTGCAACAGCCGATTACCTCGGCATTTACTTTTGCTGATATATCTGCAAAATATCTGTTTGTTAGCTGATATCTCAGCAAAATGTTATTTGCTAGCTGAGTCTCGGCAATTGTGTTACTGAATTTCAGCAAAATAAATTGCAGAACTGCTCGGCTGTTGGAATATCGGCGAAAAAAATTTAGTGTGTAAAGTTGTGTGTTCGGCAAAATTTAGTCGGTTTATCACAAATGTTTAAAAGTTAATGTTTGGATATCACTAACCAACCCTTATTTCACTCACATCAAAAGACTGGTTAAAAATAATGGGAAAACTTTTTCGAAGACACGTTTACCAAAAACTGTTAAAATCGTTGAACACTATCAGTTAAGAACAATGAAACAGCTTAAAAATAACATTAAATTGAGGGCATATGTACAGTATCTTTTTGAACGTGATTTAATGCCACGAAAATAAGTTTTTAGGAAATGATAATCTAAAGCAATATTAGAAATTAGGAATTAGAAAATTTCGGCAATTAATGTCCAGCAACTCGCACATCTTAGGGCTTCAGATAGCATGGTCAGTAAAGGCACGATATTGCCAAGCCGGAGGCGGCGACTGTGGAAGTGCATCTAGCACCCTAAATTGAGCGCCGGCCAAACGCTCGCTACAGAAGCGTAAAAAGCCTAGAAGAAGAAGAACTCGCACCTCTGAAAACTTTTTTTTTTTAATAACTTGCGTACATAAGCAGTTAATACACGTTAAATTAGAGCAACATGCAAACAAACAGTTTTGATAAATAAACTCAAAATTTGTTTAAAAATAATAAATAAGAAAGATGTCAGTAATTGAAATTTTACCTTTCTTGACGATAAACTCCCGCAGCAGTACTGAATGCCTAGGGGCACGCAATAATCCTTAACTCCAACGCAGAAAACGGCTGTAATTAAATTAATTCCATTCACTACTGCTTTAATTACATTAATTACACAGTGTAGAACATAAACTGTTTTTGAAGTCCATTAATTACAGTCGACTTTTCTCAATTAAAGTACATCAATTACATTTTCAATGCTTTTAATTATATTAAGTACGGATAGATAATTTTAATTACCGTCAGTACTACTTCAAAACGGCTTAACTACTTTAAAGGCCCACGCACATTAGATCCGGATCGGACGCGTTGCGGCAAAGTGACAGCTAAATCTATTGTCTAACTATCAAATTTACGTCAACGCAACGCAAACGGGTCTAATGTGGATGGCCCTTAAATACTTTTGATTGCATTTTAACTTCAACGCACCGGTTCTTTGTATTGCGTGACCCTCGCTGAATGCCCTGTGCGACGACACTCACTCACAAAAGCAATAAAACCACTTCGCCTGAAAGTATGCATTTGCTATAATAAACCCCCAGACGACTGGCATCAAGGCGGATAACCAAAGGTGGCACAGAAGGAAGGAGTGTTAGTTTGTTTACTAAAATGAACTCGGACGATTGTATATTGCAAGTTTTGTTATAATCAATCCTCCTCGTGTTTATTCGCGAAATTCACATCAAAGATTGATCACTTGCGTAGGAAATTAATTTGGAAAGGCATACACGGTCGTATGAAACAGATCCAAATCTGTCCAAATCTTCCCGTAGATTTTTTTGTTTTAGGACCGTTTATGGCAAAATAGTGAACTTTTCATGTACATTAACGGCAAATAATTCACCAACACTAGTGAGATTCAACCCACCTGTAATGACCCGCCTTGGACTGGCATAGTATGAAGAAGCGAAGCACACAATTCAAAAGCTTAACACCTCACCACCCCAACCCCATCGCTTCAGCTTGTTTGCCGGTTCCACAAATCATCAACAACAACACACAGTCAAAACAAGTTTTTGCTGTTCTTTTCCTAGTTGTAATAAAAAAAAAGCTTCAACATGAGCGCTGCTGGAAAACTACCCAAACAAACCACAAACCGGTCGACAGCTGTCGTATGGTTACCCTTTTACTTTCGACGTATAAAGTCTCTCTCCTGCTGAATAACTTGTTCGAATATCAATATAGAATACTAATCACTTACATAAATTGAATATTTATCAATTGAGGATGAGTCAGTGCAACGATTTCAATCTTTCCACGATAATCCCATGGTATCGTTTGATGCAAGCATTACAAAAGATCAATATTAATGATCATCCCAAGTGCAGGTTGTAAAACAATTTATAAACTGCTGTAAACAGCATCTGTTCACTTACCATTGAAGCGTCAAATAGCAATCACTCATAATAAGCTTGACGCAAATAGAAGAGCCATTTTTCCTCACCTGTAATGAAAGATGAAACAGTAATTAATTTATGTTTGTCAAGACATGATTGCACTTGATATTGACTCTTTAACAAATTACTTTATGGTTTCTCTGTTTTCTTTTGCTTTCAGGTGAGCATCGCATTGGCATCTAGCGGACGTTTCATTCATGCAGAAAACGTAGCGCAAGACAGATTCGATAAGCTAAAGCATCCGAAATTGGGCCAGATGCAGGTTCCAGGTCTTCGGAAAAACGAAATATTTTGCTCGCGACGAAGTAAACTATGTACCGTCGCATCCACAGTCAACAGCACACGAGAGCTACCAGTAAAAATTGGCGCAAATATCCAAATTCTTGAGGACGAAAGCAATCTCAGTGAACCTAACACCTATTGTAATTTTTAAGTGAATTCCGACTAAGTTGTTCTTGAATCGGTTTAGCAATGGTTTTCAACGTACTTGTAGCATCATCTGTGATCAAAACAGCCACTGTAGTAGGCTCTAGTCTATGGCTTATACCATTCTTACTGGGGGCTATTTCATATTACCGGTATGATCGGGTCGATCCAGAGTCACGAGTTATCGACCAACAGAGTCTATACTCGGAGTATGATTTCGTAGTAATAGGTGGTGGTTCAGCGGGCGCTGTAGTAGCAAACAGGCTTACGGAAGTAAGTAGATGGAAAGTGTTGGTACTAGAAGCAGGCCCAGATGAGAATGAAATATCGGACGTTCCATCGCTGTCCGCGTACCTACAGCTCAGTAAGTTGGATTGGGCATACAAAACCGAACCTACTGACAAAGCCTGTCTTGGTATGGTCAACAATCGCTGCAACTGGCCGAGAGGAAAAGTTTTGGGAGGCTCAAGCGTACTTAACTATATGATCTACGTAAGAGGAAACAAAAACGATTTCAATCACTGGGAATCGTTAGGCAATCCCGGCTGGGGTTACAACGATGTATTGCAATACTTTATCAAATCGGAAGACAACCGAAATCCATATCTTGCCAGAAACCCATACCATGGAAAGGGTGGATTACTAACAATTCAGGAAGCACCGTGGCATACACCGCTAGTAGCAGCATTCGTCGAAGCCGGTACAGAAATTGGGTATGAAAATAGAGATATCAACGGAGCTCAGCAAACAGGATTCATGATCGCTCAGGGAACGATTCGACGTGGTAGTCGGTGTAGTACAGCAAAGGCATTCCTCCGACCCATTCGTTTGAGGAAAAATTTACACATAGCATTGAACTCTCACGTGACAAAGCTATTGATTGATCCAGTTACAAAGAAAGCCATTGGTGTGGAGTTCTTCCGGCAGGGCAAAAGACACTTCGTCAAGGCTAAGCGCGAAATCATCATGTCTGCTGGATCAATCAATACTCCGCAGATATTGATGCTTTCGGGAATCGGACCAAAGGAACATCTGGATGAAGTGGGCATTAAGACCATAGTAGATCTACCAGTTGGTAAGAATTTGCAAGACCACGTAGGCATGGGTGGCTTGACGTTCCTAGTAGATAAGCCAGTAGCAATTTTGCAAAATCGATTGGAGGCAGCTTCCGTAACAATGAATTATGTGATCAATGAACGTGGACCCATGACGGTATTGGGAGGGCTGGAAGGTATCGCTTTCGTCAATACTCCGTTCGCTAACGTTTCTCAAGATTGGCCAGATATTCAATTCCACATGGCACCCGCTTCGTTGAATTCGGATGGTGGGGTACGAGTTAAAAAAATCTTGGGACTCAAGGAAAATATCTACCAAGAAGTATTTCAGCCTCTACATAACACTTACAGCTGGACCATCATGCCATTACTTTTACGCCCTCGGTCTCGTGGTTGGGTTCGCTTGAAATCGAAGAACCCCTTTCACTATCCTCTCATGAAACCCAACTATTTCGAAGATCCGTTCGACGCACTAACGCTCGTCGAAGGCGCCAAGATTGCACTGAGAGTTGCAGATGCTAAGGTTTTCAAACAATTCGGCAGCCGTTTGCACCAGAAGCCACTTCCTAACTGTAAACATCACAAGTTCCTGTCGGATGCCTATTTGGAATGTCAAGTACGATCGATTTCAATGACCATCTATCATCCGGTCGGTACCGCCAAGATGGGCCCTGAATGGGATCCGGAGGCCGTTGTGGATCCAAGACTACGAGTCTACGGTGTATCGGGGTTACGTGTCATAGATGCCAGCGTTATGCCGAGGATAGTCAGTGGTAATACCAACGCAGCTGTCATCATGATCGGTGAGAAAGGAGCGAACATGATCAAGGAAGACTGGATGGGTGTTAGTTGATTTAAACTTATGTAGATTTACGGGTGAGACGAACTTGTTCACTTCGACTGTTTACTTGTAGGTTGTTGAATATGTATTTAGTGTAGTAGACGAATTAGAAACGAAATAATGTGTGCCATTTTGCGATGATGATTGCTGCAGTGTGTAATGTAGAAGGAGGAGTAATTGTAACTGTATTATCTGCTGCTTGTTTTATCATGAGATTGTCAGTGCTTAAAATGAACCTCAAATAGTAAAAAACAGAGTTACTCCTAGTACCTTAGGATCAAGTGAAAACACCAAAAAAGCAACGAATAAAAATAATTACCATGTTGAAAACATACGTGTAATTATGCGCGTACGGTTGTTTTTCTATCCGGTATGACAACTCCCTTACACAGAGAGACAGGGTGGGTACAAGGAAATATCATGTTCACTTCCAAGAGTTTGCATACAGTTATTTTCCGTCAATCGGTAGTATGACAGGCTGAAAACAAGTATTTATTACAGATGTAGTTTTCAATGACAAACCAGTCGGGAATTGTCTGTTTGGTGGAGACAAAGATATTTTAGCAATCCTCGGATTGGGTTAGAAGTCTGTAGTATTTTACGAGCGATTTGCAAGAATCTTATCTGCATATAATGTCTTGCAACTACTGTTTTACGACTTGCTGCGGCGATGAATCTGCGATGGTGCAACTTTATTCCAATGCCTTTCACATATGCGAATTGAAATAAAAAACAGGTTTCTTAGTAATGATAACCAACAACATACACTGCCGCTATTCGCATAACAGACCCATGTGCCATTTTGGTGCTTTTGAGTTATCTCACGTAATATATGTGGAACTCGATGATCAACCCCATTTCAGTGATTTCAAGTGGTATAGTTGGAAATGGACACAGCAAAAATATTAATGTTTGCATTAAAAAAGTATAAATTTTTCGACGATTCTTTATGCGTGGACCTGCCACCTAATGGTCCCTGAAAATTAATTTAAAGCTGCCATATGTTAACTGTTTCAAGTTTTATTTTGAAAGCGATGCGTATTGATTGCTATAGTTATGGCCAAAAAAATTGGGAAACTCTAAATTTGCACGTGTGCATTATTTCAATTATCTTTCTCTATGGTGTGTGTGTTATCTTTCTCTATTTGTGTGTGTGTGTGTGTGTGTGTGTGTGTGTGTGTGTGTGTGTGTGTGTGTGTGTGTGTGTGTGTGTGTGTGTGTGTGTGTGTTTTTTTTTTGCAAGGAGGAAACCTTCAAAAATGCCATCGTGCCACCGCTTGACGACTGGGCTCACAGTCACGGTGACACGGTGTGTGGGATTCTTACCGCACTAAAACCTCCTTGGACGCCATGCCCTTTTCCCCCGGAACCACTTGTCGTATTACTTCGGAGGGGGCCGTGCATTCCGCACTTCACTTTACCTCAGCTAATTGGCGCTTCCAGTTCGCTGATCGTCTCTCCAATTTGTGAGCCATTTAGCTCCCAGTGTCACGTTCTACTCGGTTATCCCCGGTGGTGGATTCAGCCTACTCTGACGGAGAGTTCTCCCGGCTTCGGCTTTCAGTTCGCACTTGTGTGAGCACATTACTACTTTCTAGTTGGTCTTCTCACCATTTTCGCTGAAGCGCTGACATGATCTGCGTTACTGCTCTGCTGACGGCGTTAAAGGTGCCCTCCTCCTCTCGACACATTTCTTCGACGGCATTCTCCGTGCTAAGGGCGAGCATATCCTCTCGCACATCATCAAATCTAGAACATTCGAAGACCACGTGCTCTAGTGATTCTTACACATTCCCACACTCCGGACAGAAAGGTGACGTTGTGTGTCCGAACCGATGCAGGTACTTTCTGAAGCAGCCATGACCAAACAGGAACTGCGTCAAGTGGAAGTTGACTTCTCAATGCTTCCTGTTCACCCAGGTCGAAAGAATCGGTATTAGCCTGTCTGTCCATCTACCGTTCTCTGCTGCATCCCACTCCTTTGGTTCTGCTTCGTTTTCAGCGCTTCAATCCAGGCTGGACCTCCGTACCTTAGTATCGATGAGGACACACTAGCCAGAAGACGCCTCTTGCTGCAGCTTGGACCAGAATTGTTCGGCATGATTCTGGCTATTGCGTTGATGACCTTAGCCGCCTTCTCGCAAGCATATTCGATGGGGCCGTTAAAGCTTAGTCGGTCGTCGATCATCACTCCCAGATACTTCAGCACGCGCTTCGAAACAATGGTGTGCTCTCCAACGGTGATTTCTGCCCGCTGCACTGCTTTGCAGTTACTGAACAACATCACTTCTGTTTTGTGGTGGGCTATCTGCAGCTTCGCTCCTTGCATCCAGTTACCAATCGTATCTATCGCCTCGGCCGCCAACATTTCCACTTCTTCCAGCGTCTCACCGGTTACCGTCAAGACGACATCGTCCGCAAAGCCAACGATCTCAACTCCTTTCGGCAGCTTGAGCGTCAGCACGCCATTGTACATTCCGTTCCACAGCGTGGGACCTAGACTGGAGCCCTGTGGAACTCCTGCCGTGATTCTAAGCGATTTCTGCCCCGTGTCTATCGCGTAGACCAGGACCCGGTTCTGGAAGTAACTACTTAGAAGCCTGCAGAGGTAGTCTGGAACCCTCATTCTATGGAGCGCCTGGGCGATGGCCTCCCAGCTGGCGCTATTGAATGCATTCTTCACATCAATCGTAATCACGGCGCAGAATCGATTTCCTCTCCGCTTCTGTTTGGAAGCTTTCTCGGCTCTGTCAATCACTGTCCGAATTGCATCCACCGTCGATCTCCCTTTCCGGAATCCAAACTGCCTCTCTGACAATCCGTGTTCACTCTCCGTGCATTTCGTCAGCCTGTTCAGGATGATCCTCTCCAAGAGCTTTCCGACAGTATCCAGCAAGCATATTGGCCTATACGATGCATGATCCCCCGGCGGTTTTCCGGGCTTCGGCAACAGCACAAGCTCTCCACCTATCAGGGAACTGACCCTCGTCCAGATATTTCTGCAGCACCATCCTGAACATGTCCGGGAACGTCTGGATCGCCGCCTTCAACGCCACGTTGGGAATTCCATCCGGGCGGGAGCTCTATTCGCCTTCAACCCTTTCGCTGCTGCTATGAGTTTCTCGTTGGAGACTTGTTCAACGTTGTCTTCATCTTCCTCGCCATATGGTGTAGGCGGCCAGTTCGTTGGGTCATGCTGTGGGAAAAGTCCCTCCACGATGACTTTCAGCTTGTTGGGACACATTTCAACCGGCATCGTTGGACCTCTGATCTTCGCCATTGCGACTCGGTATGCGTTGCCCCAGGGGTTGGCATCGGCGTCGCGGCACAGCTCCTTGAAACTATTTGACTTGCTCAGCTTTATCTTTCGTTTCAGTGCAGCCCTGGCCTCTCGGAACACCACCCTGCGCTCCTCTCTGTCTGCTTCTGTTATTACTCTCTGAGCACGCCTTCTGGCTAGTAGACAAGAAGCACGGAGGGTGCTAATTTTCTCGTTTCACCAGTAAGCTGGACGCCGCCTTCTCGTTGGCTCCAGTTTTTTCGGCATAGTTGTGTCACATGCCCTTGCTTATGATTCGTTCAACTCGTTCGCGCTTAGGCCCGGGACGTTACTGTCTACCCTTAGAGCTTCGATGAAGAGATCCTTATTGAATGCCTTCGTCTTCCATTTCCGCTCGCTTACTTTCGTCCTCCGCATTTCCACCGGTGTCCGTTCGCCGATACTGCACCGGATCGCCTGATGGTCACTATGGGTGTACTCTTCGCACACTCTCCAGTTTTGTTATATTTGCCATAAGCGACGTACTGCAGAAAGTGACATCGATAATGGATTCCCTACCATCTTTGCGGAAGGTGCTGATGGTTCCTAAGTTGGCCAGACTGACGTTCAACTTTGCCAGAGATTCCAGCAGGCTATACCCTCTAGCGTTGGTACACCTGCTCCCCCAATCCACTGCCCAAGCATTGAAATCTCCTGCGATGATGACTGGTCTTTGTCAAATGAGCATCTGGTGGAACTGCTCAATTGTTTATTCTGGGGGGTGCGTAGCAACTACATACATAGATTCTATTGATTTTGGCGATCACGAAACCTTCGTATGAGCCCGCCACCACTTGTTGAATGGGACGCCTGTCCATGACTTGTATGGCCACCAATCCTGCTCTATCCGTCACACAGTTACCATTATCGAGAGGGACTCGATATGGCTCTGCAATGATAGCAACGTCGCACTTTGTTTCCGTTGTCGACTGCCACAACAGTTGCTGTGCTGTGTTGCAATGATTGACATTTATTTGGGTTACCTCCATTATTGCTGGCCCACCATCGCCTTCTTGAACTCTGGGCACCTGAAACTTCCCGTCACATGGCCGTTTCCGTCCTCTTTTTTGCAGAGCATGCAATTTTCTCCGCATTTCCTGCTCAGATCAGATCTGTCAGGGCCTTTGCAGTTTCTCGCCTGGTGACCGAAGCTCATTTGTAGCATCTCTCCATTTTCTTAGATACCCGAGGAATAGCTTTCAACGGGCACACTGACCACCCAACCTTGATTCGGCCTGTCTTCAGCAGCTCGTTAGCTGCGTCCGAAGAAAGTCGTATCGACGCCGTCTGCGTGCCACCATACGCCTTCCTCAACCGAATTGCCATCGGTACGTCTCCCAGGTTTCATTGCACCTTCAGCGCACTTTTCAACTCGTCTTCTGTTGTGATCTCGTACAGATCCCTGCACTCGACCACTGACTCCTGGGATAAGGCTCTTACGTTTCCGTCTCGCCAAGAGATTTTTCGACGAGCTCCTTAAAAACTGCGCTCTTAACCGTAGGGTCCCTTTTCAGCTCGAATAGCATCTCGCCTTTCTGGGTTCGTCTGGTTTTCACCACGTTCTCGCCTAGTTGTTTCAACTCCGGATCCTCTCTCACTTTCCGAAGTGCTGCGTAGGACGTTTTGTCCTTCGCCTCAACAACCAGAGCGTCACCTTTGCTTCTCTCCCTACGAGGCCAAGGCTTCTCCTTTTTCTTCCTGTCTTCCTTCTTCTTCTTCTCTTCCTTCTTCCTCGCTTCCTCTTCCTTCTTCCTCACTTCATCTTCCTTCTGTTTTTCTTCCTCTCCTTCTGGTTCTCGACTTTACGCCACCCACCATTTTCTCCCATCTCCTTGATGCCTTCCTCGTCGTCCCTGCTTTTTTTGTGTTCCTCCTCATCTCCTGGCGTGTCCCTATCTCCTTTTCAGGACGTGGATTTGTGGGTCCCTTCGGCATCTCACCGCACGGAGTGTACCGCTCATTGGGTGGATCGCTTTCTCACAAATTAGTTGGAAAAAAATGTGTGCGAAGT